GCGTCGGGGAGGTAAACAATGTATTATGTCATCTTTCCTTCTTTAGGTAATTTACCAAGGTCACACAGTTGTTATATAATAGTGTTAGGATTCAATCCCATATATGTCAGACCCCAGTCTGCAGTGCTTAAACACTACAATATAACACTGTTATGGCAATCCATGGGCAGAAAGATGAGTTCATATTTTTTTTTCATTTATTTTTATTAGTTGGAGGCTAATTATTTCACAACATTGCACTGGTTTTTGTCATAAATTGACATGAATCAGCCATGGAGTTACATGTATTTCCCCATCCCGATCCCCCCTCCCACCTCCCTCTCCACCCAATTCCTCTGGGTCTTCTCAGTGCACCAGGCCCGAGCACTTGTCTCATGCATCCAACCTGTGCTGGTGATCTGTTTCACCCTAGATAATATACATGTTTCGATGCTGTTCTCTCGAAACATCCCACCCTCGCCTTCTCCCACAGAGTCCAAAAGTCTGTTCTGTACATCTGTGTCTCTTTTTCTGTTTTGCATATAGGGTTATCATTACCATCTTTCTAAATTCCATATATATGTGTCAGTATACTGTAATGGTCTTTATCTTTCTGGCTTACTTCACTCTGTATAATGGGCTCCAGATTCATCCATCTCATTAGAACTGATTCAAATGAATTCTTTTTAATGGCTGAGTAATATTCCATGGTGTATATGTACCACAGCTTCCTTATCCAGCAGTTCTATTTCCAGTTTTTTAAGAAATCTCCACAATGTTCTCCATAGCGGCTGTACTAGTTTGCATTCCCACCAACAGTGTAAGAGGGTTCCCTTTTCTCCACACCCTCTCCAGCATTTATTGCTTGTAGACTTTTGGATAGCAGCCATCCTGACTGGCATGTAATGGTACCTCGTTGTGGTTTTGATTTGCATTTCTCTGATAATAAGTGATGTTGAGCATCTTTTCATGTGTTTGTTAGCCATCAGTATGTCTTCTTTGGAGAAATGTCTGTTTAGTTCTTTGACCCATTTTTTGATTGGGTCATTTATTTTTCTGGAATTGAGCTGCAGGAGTTGCTTGTATACTTTTGAGATTAATCCTTTGTTGCTTCATTTGCTATTATTTTCTCCCAATCTGAGGGCTGTCTTTTCACCTTGCTTATAGTTTCCTTTGTTGTGTAGAAGCTTTTAAGTTTCATTAGGTCCCATTTGTTTATTTTTGCTTTTATTTCCAATATTCTAGGAGGTGGGTCATAGAGGATCCTGCTGTGGTTTATGTCAGAGAGTGTTTTGCCTATGTTCTCCTCTAGGAGTTTTATAGTTTCTGATCTTACATTTAGATCTTTAATCCATTTTGAGTTTATTTTTGTGTATGGTGTTAGAAAGTGTTCTAGTTTCATTCTTTTACAAGTGGTTGACCAGTTTTCCCAGCACCACTTGTTAAAGAGGTTGTCTTTTTTCCACTGTATATCCTTGCCTCCTTTGTCAAAGATAAGGTGTCCACAGGTTCGTGGATTTATCTCTGGGCTTTCTATTCTGTTCCATTGATCTATATTTCTGTCTTTGTGCCAGTACCATACTGTCTTGATGACTGTGGCTTTGTAGTAGAGTCTGAAGTCAGGCAGGTTGATTCCTCCAGTTCCATCCTTCTTTCTGAAGATTACTTTGGCTATTAGAGGATTTTTGTATTTCCATACAAATTGTGAAATTATTTGTTCTAGTTCTGTGAAAAATACCATTGGTAGCTTGATAGGGATTGCACTGAATCTATAGATTGCTTTGGGTAGTATAGCCATTTTGACAAAATTGATTCTTTCAATCCATGAACACGGTATGTTTCTCCATCTGTTTACATCCTCTTTGATTTCTTTCATCAGTGTTTTATAGTTTTCTATGCATAGGTCTTTTGTTTCTTTAGGTAGATATATTCCTAAGTATTTTATTCTTTTTGTTGCAACAGTGAATGGTATTGTTTCCTTAATTTCTCTTTCTGTTTTTGATGAATTCATATTTATCCTGTATATATATGGTAGCAGAACTCAGACAACACATCCTAACCTGCAGTAAGTGAACCTGTAGGAACTATTTTCAAACATTCTGACAGAAAGCACAATCAACATAAAACTGTATCCTAAGAGTCTGCTTACGAAAACGCGGTATAGTCTCTGGCAAATCACTTAAGTTTAATCTAAATCTCAGTTACCATGTCTGTGAAATAGTATTTCCCTCATCTGTCAGGGCAATAGACAGAAAATAAAGTGCATGAAGTATAATAATACAATGATTAGTACTTGGTGACCCTCAAAATAAACAATACCTCATATCATCATCATCATACCTTAACAATCTGATTTGATTCTGAATATCAATCTAAGAATGCTTGCTCAAATAGTAAAATAACCAAATTTAGGTTCCACATTAATATTTTTTTAGTGATTTGGAAGAATGAAATTGAAAACATTTCACTACCTTCCTGCTCCTGGTCTATGGGAAGGAAAAAAGAGAGAGAGAGAGAGAGAAAACTTTTCTCATTATGTTTGATGACAGCATTTGAATTTTCTCCTTCCCATGTCAGTTTAATAACAATTTATTTTTAGAATTCAAATTCAGTTTAAATCTTCACTGATATGCTGTTTAATTGGTACATATCGTATTTTACATTAAAATTTAACAAGTATTAATAAGAATAACAATGATTTTTCCTTCCTTGTTTATGAATAAACTATATTTAGAAATAAGAAAGTAAAGATTATACACTGTATCTAGAACCTTGCTGCTGAATCTATTTTTAAGAACTTAAATTTACCAAAACTGTGTTACCAAGTCACAATGCTCTGATGGAGACTCAAAGATCCTATCTATCCATTACTCAAAGGTGCAAAGAAATCAATGATACAGAAGAAATATATGCTTTATGTATCATTCCTCATACAAAGAGAAGAAACAAAATGAAAACCTGCAAAGATTCCTGAATCAACTTCACTATGAAGAATGAACAAAATCAAATATGCTTCTTAAAACAAAAAAACTAGTGCTGTGACCTAAAGCAACTAATTAAGCCAACAAACGTCATCTCAGTTAAAAATAACAAAATTAGTTTTAATAATGCCGTTAATCATTATTAAGAGGGCTGGCCCTGATTAACTACCCAAAACTGCCCATTCTCTTTAAATGCACATTTAGCAACTCTCATTGAATGCAGAACTCTTTATCCATAAAAAACATGGTATAATTTCAGTGAATTTGTGAATTCAAAACTCTTTCTTTTCCCACTATGTCATAAATGGGAAAAAACATCAGCCACTCTGGTAAGTAACTTTATACATTATTTCATGTGTCCCTTAAACACATTAAGAAGAGATGAAGGCAAGGTCACATGCATCATACATGGCAGTCTGCAGTGTCAGAATTCATATTAGCCTAGCTCCAAAGCACTGAGATTTTAGAATTCTAGCGCATCTCACTTTCATTTATTTGCTTTAATTTTTACTAACTACAGTTGGTTTATAATACTGTGTCAGGTCAGCTATACAGCTTCACATTCTTCCCCATTATAGGCTATTACAAATTACTGAATATAGCTCCCTGTACTATACAATAAATCCTTGTTGTTTATCATATATATAGTGGTGTGTATCTGTTAATCCCATCCTTCTGATTTATCTTTCCTCCTTCTGTTTCCCCTTTAGGAGCCACAAGTTGTTTCCTGCATCTGTGAATCTGAGTTTCTGTTTTGTATTACTAATTAAGTTCATTTGTATCTTCTTTTTAGATTTCACATGTAAGTGATATCACATAATACTTGTCTTCCTCTATCTGATTGTCTTCACTTAGTGTGATAATCTCTAGGTCCATTCATGTTGCTGGAAATGGCAATATTTCATTCTTTTTTGGTTGTGCAACATTCCACTGTATATATGTACCACATCTTTATCCATTCATCTATTGATAGACATTTAGGTTGCTTCCATGTCTACTGGCTCATCTTTCCTTTAAATAATAGGAAACTGTTTACCATTTTTACACTGTTTCCTGAGGTAATAATATCAAGGAAACTAAGATTCACAAAATGCTTTAAACTAATATAATTCTAAAGTTAAAACAAGGACAAAAGAAAAGCATGAGAGCCAGATTTCCTTAGGCTGGGAAAATCTGTATTTAAGAAATAAGCCTAATGCATGATCAATATCAAGAAGAAAGTGCCTGCAGTATCCCAGGCCTGACTAGTTTTTCTTGTATGTATGTGTGTACCTGTTTTGTGTCTGTTAAATAACCAAAACAGGTGTTTCAACTACAACTCTGTGAAACCCAAATGAACAAGCACAGACAAGTATATGAACAAATTCAGTTTTCTTAAGTCACAATCAGGAATGGCATGGTGAAAATGTAACTTTCCCTATTCCTTGTTTTGCCATGAAATACTGAATTAGCTAATAATAGTTTTATTAATATAGTTCTTTAGTCTATATACCAATTATTCATAGCATACCAATTATTCATAGCATAAGTCAAAAACTAGCTTTAAATTTCAAGACTATGGCTTATACACTTATTTAAGAGAAACTTTCTCAAAGTTTATTAGAAAACTTCATATTTACAAAAATTTAACAATTTACAAATGTTTATACTAAGGATTTACCCACATGGTTACAAATGACAATAAAAATTAACAGTGAAGCTTTCAAATATTAGGATTTTACAATCTGATGGTATTTCAAGAATCCTTTTACCCAGATCATATAAAAGGCATTCATTATGAAGCAAACCCTAAATAAAAACAAATTTATATAAAAGGGCATATTTTGCTTTAACCATTGATTAAAAATATTTATCATGGCAACCCCTTACTATAATTCAAATGTTAGAAACAAAATCATTTCAAAAATTTACACCTGTATTGCTTTAATTTTCACAACCCAAAAGACTATGTTCAACTATTCACTATACATGTACAGATCAATATTTTTTTAAAGGTGTTTACCAGGAGTCTCTTTAGATAGATAAACACTCGAGACCCACCTTGTGCTGTTCAATGGCATCTATCCACTGCTGTCTGTGATCTGGATCTTGAGCACGAAGATACCAAACGCTATCATTTACACTAATATCAAATCGGCATTCATCAAAATCATGAGGCTGTGGGGGGAAAAAAGGGAGGAAAGGAAAAGCAAAGCTAATTATATTCTTAGAAGTGTTATACCCTACAGCAAAAACATGAACATACCCATTCTGGCCGGTGAGAGATTTGTTATTCTTTTTGTACTCAAATAACTTTTTGAAGATATTTCAGATAAAGAGCACAACATGGGTATAATTACCAAAAACTATGCTCATTCACTATTCCTACAAATGAACTGACACAAGAACTACAGACATGTTTTAAAAAAGAGATAAAATATTTTCCATCAAATGCTTTGAGTCAGTGTAAACTAGTGGGAATATCACTGAAAGCACAATTTTAATAAGGGCAAAAGTAAGTTTTCAAAAGACATTTACTGATATTTTTCTGCTTTCATTATTCAATAGTAAATTCTCATCATCAGTAGTCTTATTTCATTAAATTTGATAAGCAAGATACTTTTATATTCTATAAAAAATAACATTAACTCCTTCTAAATATCTCAAATTAACTTCTAGGCTTTTTTACATCTTTTAATAGCCAGGAGAGTCTCTAATGAAAAGCAAAAGTAAAATGAACATTAGATCATACTTATGTTAGAGGAAACCACCTTCACCAAAATGTAAGCAATTAGTGCAAATGTAAAATATCTGGTTCAGTGTTTCACATTCTTCAAAACAATATATAAAATAAAAATTTTATATACTTGTTTTTCTCTCAATGAATGAGTTCAAATATGACAGGATCACATCACAAATACAACCTCTTCTTCTACTGGATAAAGTACAACGTCCTCTTCTTTGAACTAGCTTAGCCTTAGAGGAAAGAGAATCCTCTCTGGTCTACATAGTAATAAACTTACTAGCTGAATGTAATCTACATATTGTGTTTATTATCTCCCAGCTTTAATAGTATCAATCTTTAAACAAAAACAATATAAGCTAATTCCACAATGTTCTTAAAAGATAAAAGTTAACACTCTGAATTACTATGTGCTGGGCATCATAGTGAGGACTACAGTGGGAGGCAGCGCATGATGGAGAGAAGCAGCAGGAAGAAACATGACAATGCATGCCTTGCTTCAGTAACTATGAATATAGAAATACACAGAAGACAACATTTAATACCCAAAAATATGACTACGAATTTAACTGAAAGATTAAGTATTCATAAATCTTAACAATGAAGTCCAGTCATTAAGAAAAGCTTCTTGGAGGAAGGAAAACATATGTACTATCTGAAGAACTAAGTAAATAATTTATCAGATCAGTCTACTGTTCTAAATAGCCCAGAGGTTTTTAAACTTTTACTGAGATATAATCATTATTTTATTTCTAGTGACTATTCTTAAAAAGGACTTATATTTTATATTGTGTTCAATATTTTCATTAAAGCTTTAGAAAATAAAAAGGTAATATATATATACAGTCATTGCTTATTTTTTGCTGGGAATTGTTTCAAGGACTCCCTTTGGACACCAAAATTTCAGATGCCTAAGCCCCACACATAAAACAGCTCAGAACCACCAGCTCTCCTTATCTGCAGACGCTGAGCTAGTGGATATGGAGGGTCACCTATCGTTCAAAATTTACTAATTTCCCCAGCAAATTCTTTTTCCACTTTCATATCTTCAAAATGTCCTTATAATCTTCCAGAGTCCTATGCCACATTTTAAATATTCCTAGAAACAGAAACTAGCCATTAAGCTTTCTCTGGGTGTGAGTGACTGAAATCAACGTAAGTAAACTTTGCCAAATTACTAAATCTGTTAAGTATATGAATTATGCTTTCTTCTCCCTACGTTTCAAAGTTTCAATATACGGAGAACTTTAAGCTTTTAATAGATAAAAACGTTATACACAGGAATGGAATAAAATGATAGTCTGCAAATCTAGAATTAAAGAATTTGAAAACTTCACTTGAATGTCACATTTACATGAGATGCAGTATCTCAATATCTGTTCAAAGAGATGGAGCTGACAGAAAGTGTACACAGAGTAGCCGTTTCTACCATAAACAGTCTGAGGGACAGGTGGCACAGAAGGGGGAGCTGCTGATTTCCAGGTGGTAGGATGTAAACGACACACAAGTTTTCAATCCCTAAAAAGTCAAGACCTGTGGCAAGCCAAATCTACAAGGCTAAAGAAACGACAGATTTGTTAAGAGGTATGTTCGGGAGGGTAAATCAAAGTCTAGACAAAAAGTTCACACCATGTCTCAACACACGCACACTCAAACACTTAATACAACAGTCTCCCTTTATCTAAGAGAAATACATCCCAAGACCCCAGTGGATGCCTGCAACTGTAGATAGTACCAAATCCTACAGAGAGAACTGACCTGTGAACGACAACAGGATTAGGGGTCTGGGGATGTAGAAAGCCCGAGTGTCTCAGTCATTCCTCTGCATCTGGGGCTCACCATCCTCGAACTCAACCACTCCTGGATTGGGTGGTACTGTAGGTATTATAGACTACTGAAACATTCTGGGTATAAGTGGCCGTGTGGGGTCAAACCTGTGTTGTTCAAGGGTCAACCACCCTATGTTTTCTCCTATACAGGCATTAAGGAGAAGGTAGTATACACAGCATGGATATGGACCAAGGAAGAAGCCATGACCCACCAGGGACAGAGCAGCCTGCATGAGATCTCATTATGCTGCTCAAAACAACATGCCATTTAAAATTTATGAACCGTTTATTTCTGGAACTTTCCATTTAATACTTTCAGATCTTAAAGGTAACTAAAATTGCAGAAATCAAAACTGCTGATGGGGTGGGGGGAACCACTGTAGATAGTTAGACTTTAATTCAAAGAAAACTAATCTTTACTTTGAATTTCACTGTGGATATTTTATTCATCATGGATTATTCTAAAAAAAAAACACATCAAAATACTATTTATCTCAATTACTGAGTTTTTCTATGCTATCTTAAATTTTATGACTGAAGTTAGTCCCTCGTTAGTCTTATCCTAGTCGTAGCCCTGACAGATGATTAGAAGAAAACCAATAAGGAATAAAGAACAAAATTACATGAAAAAATACAAGAGATGGTAGATGTAAGAGATGACATGAGCTATCTTCAGAGAAAAATGACGAAAACATCTAAAGAAGAGATAAAGCAGCAAGCAATGAAAAGTAAGCTAACAGGGCTAAGAAAAAAGAAATGAGTTGAAACCACATCAGAAGCAGCAATAAAAAGCCAATAAGTCTGTTTTCGCAAACAGATGTGAGAAAAATACAAAGTGAAAGAAATATAATGAGTGAACAGAGGAGGTCAAGCAAATGATTGAACTGGTGTTTTGAAAGAGGAAAATGCAACAAGTGTAACAAAAAATTCAAAGATACTATCTTTTCCTCTTTTTTTAATCTTTTGGCCCCATAGCAGGCAGGCATGTGGGATCTCTGGCCCTAGGGATCTTAGTTTTCTGACCAGGGACCAAACCTGCATCCCCTGCATTGGCAGCACAGAGTCTTAACCACTGAACTGCCAGAGAAGTCCCGATACTATCTTGAAATAAAACTTAAAGATCCAAAAGACATATTTTACCCAGGAAAAATGGTCACAGGAAATAAACTCAATCTGAAGGCTTATTCTGTGAAGTTAATTTAAGAAGAAAGAAACTATTTCTCAAGCTTTTTGCATTATCACCCCTACTCCAAGAAAAAATAAATTCTCCTTAGTGAGAGAAATCAAATAGTAAGAACTAAGATTCTGTCCAGTTGACTTTTCTTGGAGGCCACATTACATACTGTAAGTACCTAAGATTTCACTTTCCCAAGGACCAAGTATAGAGGCCCACTGAGAATGAGAATACACGTGCTAGGGAAGAAAGCCCACAACATGAAGGAAAATGCAGATGGGTCTCATCGTTTGTCACGTCAACATTCACTGTCAACAACAAAAGATACATCAAGAGGCGAAACGGCACTTATGTCTACTCTTGGTCTGTCAACTGTCCTTAGGGCTGCGGTAACAAAAAAACCAGCATACCCTGGGTAGCTTTTCTGATTGTTTTATTAGATTGAAGTTTCACAATCTACCTACGTGGAGTGTGATGCACGCTCAGTCGCCGAGGCGTGTTCGGCTCTGCGACCTGATGGACTGCAGCCCGCCAAGTTCCTCTGTCCAAGTTCTTGTCTTCAGGCAAGAACACTGGACAGGGTTGCCATTTCCTCCTCCAGGGCATCTTCCCAACCCAGGGATGGAACCCATGTCTCCTGCACTGGCAGGCAGATTCTTTACTTCTGAGCCCTGGGAGTCTCCGAGGTAGCTTTAACAACAGAAATGTCTCACAGTTGTGGAGGCTGGGAGTCCAAGATCAGGCTGTGAGCGCGGGAGGCTGCTCAGTGAGGGCCCTCCTGGCTTTCAGATGGCAGCTGTCTAGGTATGTCCTCATATGGAGGACAGAGAGCCCTCAGGTTTCCGCATCCCCTCCTAAGGGTGTGTCACCAGGGGGCGTCCACTTACATGGCCTCAAAGAAACCCAAGTTCCTCCCAAAGGCCCCACTTCCAAACTACCATCAGAGTGAGAATTAAAGCTTTAACACATACCACAGACCCATTATCTATCAAAATACCCTCATAGGAAGAGGCGTAAATCCACAAAGAAAAAGAATGGAAACAGCTCCCAACAAAATTTAAAGCTGGAATGTGATAACTGACACTAACAGGCCTGAATACGCCGACAAGCAAACACATACAAGGGAAAGGACAAAAAGAGCCAATTTGTTTTGGAGGCATCAAGTGACACTACAGGTGAAGGCATGGGAAATGCGGAAAACAAAACTAATCAAGAGTCACTAAAAAGCGGAACTAGACCCCTGGAACCTCATTTTCCTATCCCACCGTGCAGTAACATTACAGGCCCCACCTCTCAGAGAGTTGGTACCAGACAGGGGTAGGAAGAAGGGACATTCCTATAAAGGAAGAAAGGTGAAAAAAGCAGATAAGGGAAAGTGTTCACATTAAAAGATTCTTTCCCTTACTCGATTCCCAAAAGGCTTGTGCCCATA